AAAGAATGAAGACGTACCGAATGGACAGGCAAACGGTTCGAGAGTGTTCCTACGCAAGGTACATGTAAAGCCCGGAGAACAGCCTTTCATCATCAAACTCCATTGCGGTGTCAGAATCCGCGTCTTCCGTGTCACCCAAATTGACAGAATCACAGTAAAACACGAGATGAAAGACATGTTGCCAAGATGTTTCGATGTCAAGACACACGGCGTGTCCTTCAAGTGCAAGATGAAAATCGAAAAGGAAAATATTGAGGTTTGCATGAAAGGAATCCAGTTTCCTCTTGTTAGCAATTCAGCGACCACAGGACACAAGTTGCAGGGATACACAGCATCGCAACTGTTGGTGTGGAACTGGCACTATGCAGATAATTGGGTTTACGTGGTACTTTCAAGAGTAAGAGAAATGAAAGGCCTCTTCTTGCGAAAACCACTGTCGCTCGATTTAACAAAGTACCAGATGCCAGACGAAATGGTGCATATGCTGGAAACTTTCAGTCGCTACATTCCCTTCGATATACTGTTTCCGCCGACAATTACGATGAAATGTTACAGTCCGAAGCAGCATTCAATTAACCAATTCCAAAAAACTTATACAATTTCGTACTCTGACGTGTTCCAACATTGTTCCTCGGGTTTTGAACTTCAATGTACAGAAGTTGACGTATTCCTCGTTCCGTTTCCATGACAGTTACTGGTACGTTAACGGTTTCGGTGACGGTACCGGTACCGGTACCGGTTACGGTCGCATTACCGTATGTGCACGCACACACCTGTACAGACATTAAAAAACGTTAAATACAAGTTTGGTACTTACAGATACACATGACCGTTGATTCTGCAACTGAAGTGCGGGTACACTATTTTACACAGTAAACGCGAGCGAATCGGTTTCGGAGTGCAACTGAGGGGGAAACCAAAAGGAGCGTCGTCTCGAGGAGACGTAATAAACGGGGTCAGAGATCACCGGGGTCTGCCCGGTACATAAACTAAAATTATAACCTAGCCAACCTCGTGGTTGGCGATTTAATATCAAACTAAGGTAGTCTAGTCGCCTCCTCCTCTCGCAAACAAACCACAAGCCCAAGGAGCTCATCCAATAGTAATACCGATAGGCACCCCACGTGGCTGTCACCAGATATGCTTCGCATAAAGGGACGTGATTCGAGCATGGAATCACAGCACCAAGAATCTGACGGCATTGGCACCAACACTCTCCAATTGGTTGAGGCCGAAATTGAACCCGTCAGTGCATATCTTGTTGATCCCTCCAGGCATTGCCTGCCAGATACAAGCACTGCTGGTGGGAGATGGCTCTGTGTCATTATTGTTATCGTGCTGGCAGCAGTACCAGTAGCAATTACAGGAATTCTTTGTGGATCTGGAGTTTGTACTTCTTCCTCAAATAAGGAGCCTTTAACGGCATCAGCATCCAGTACTGCTCCTTCCATGCCACAAGAATCAATCAGTGCAACAGCATCCAGTAATGTACCTAATGTTCCCATGTCACCTCAGACTTTGACTTTTCTCCCATCACCGCAACCAATACAGAACCTCCCTACGTTGCCATCATTTCTTCATCCCTCAGCATGGCAATCCTCCAACCCAACTGCTCAGCCTGTTTTGGATGCCACAATGAATCCTACAGCAATTCCATCAACAACCATTAGTCCCACTGTCGATCCCAGCAGCAAACAATCACTTTTGCCATCGACAAATCCAACAAAGACGGCTAGTGGCAGCCCCAGTACCATCCCTTCAACACAACCGAGCAACTTGCCAACTACGAATCCCACTAGGAATCCCACTACCAGCAACCCTACTGTAGCTCCTTCTACAAACAGACCAACCAATCCTCCATCCAAAAGAACAACTCTTGACCCAACAGTGCAACCAACTACTACACAGCCCACTCCCAATCCAACCAAGAATCCCACGAGTAGCCCATCAACAACTCCAACCAAGCAACCCTCTGCCGGCAACCCTACTGTAGCTCCTTCTACAAACAAACCGACCAATTCTCCACCCAAAAGAACAACTCTTGACCCAACAGCACAACCAACTATCAGACAGCCCACTCTCAATCCAACTACAAATCCACCCTCGGTCACACCACCAGAGACAGTTGAGTTTTTTGGTACAACCTATTCTGTTGCAAATACGAATCGGATTGATCGCCGGAGGGCTCGTCTCACTGGATCCATCCCGACTGAGGTTGGATACATGACTGCCTTAACATATTTGGATTGGGGTGACAACAATGTGGTGGGTGAGATTCCAAGTGAGCTTGGATTGTTGACCTCATTGACTTGGTTGTGGTTGCGTGACAACCAGTTGAGTGGAGGTGTGCCTACCGAGATTGGTTTGTTGACTGCATTGACTGATTTGGGCTTGCATGACAACCAGTTCAACGAAAGCATTCCAACTGAGATTGGATTGTTGACTGCTTTGCTTCACTTGTGGTTGGATAACAACCAGTTGAGCGGAAACATTCAGTCGGAAATTGGATTGATGACCTCATTAAAATGGTTGTTCTTGTCTTACAACAACCTCAGTGGACCCATTCCTTCAGAAATCGGATTGTTGACCGCATTGACTGGGTTGTACTTGTATGGCACACATTTGACCGGCAGTGTGCCCGACAGTCTTTGTTCCAACCCAGGTTTGTTTCGGGTAAATGTTGATTGTGCTCCAGATCGAGATCCGTTTCCTGTGGACTGTACATGCAGTCAATGTGTTTGTAATTCATGAAATTCAATTTCTTATTCGTATTTACCAATCATCTGTTTTTGGTTGTTGTCGTTGGTTTTTGTTGCCCATCTCATAATAGATGCTCACCATCGATCATGCTGGTATCTCTTGTGTTTCTGTTTTGTGTGGCCGTATCGTGAATCTCTTTTTAATGAGGGAAAGGGGTGTCAAATACTGTAAAGGTCCGGTGGCCAACATTGTAAAACGGCGGTTAGTTGGGGGGTCTGCCGGGGGGTGGTTGGACCTGGCTTCACAAAGCAAGGTCAAGCTGGCAGTAGTTATTGCAGACCAGCACGTACTGGTGTGCATTGTGTGGTGTAATCTAGCTAGCTACTAGTATATGAAAGTCTTGTGGTGGATGGCCTTGCTGGGCAATCCTTGGCTGATCTGAACACATCTCACCCTCCCGCTGCAAAATACGTTCGTCGCCAACTTTGCTTACGTCCAATCTAGCTAGCTAGTTCACAGCAGCGGAATCCAACCACCAAGGGGTCCCTGGCTTGCCCAGTCTGTCTTCTGCATAGTACTCGTCCACGTGGCTCGTTTGGTTCATGCTCTTGGCCATGCATTCCTCCAGTCCTCCCGGTGTGTTGTTGTGGACATTATACGATTCAATGAACTTGCACCCCCATGGATTATGATTGTCATGTGTTGCTTTGACAATGGTATTGTTGACCACGGTGATATTGTGACAGGGATCCAGCTTGTCGCAATTAAAACCAGCACCCATGGCTTGTCCCACAGCTTGATTGTTGGAAAAGACGATATTTTGCACCACGGTTTTGGGATAGTTGGAGGGTAGTTTTTGTTTGCCCACTTGATAATTGGTTTCGAGAAAGATAAACATGCTGGTGTTGTAAATAATATTCCGGTCAAATACGATATTGTCAATGGAACCACTGCGTGTAAGGGTAGTCTTGATGTGCAAGGCGGGACCCCATCCGCAAGACGTGAGTGTTTTATCACCACTTTGACAATATCCAATCGTGTTGTTGTAGATAAACACATCCCGAACCGTGCCACTGGTTTCACTTCCGATAGCAATTCCCATACCGGTACGGAATAGATTGTGGCGAATGGTGACATTCTTGGTCAAGTAGCCTTTGACACGTTGTGACCAGGCGGGGTCCATGCATTCATTGTAGTAGGCTGGCTTGAGGCCACAGACACCGGCCTTGATGGCAATATGATCATCGCCACAGGCAATGTCATTGTATTCCACCATAACGTTCTGTGCAGAATCAGGGTCCACACCATCGACATTTGGCGCATAGAGGGGTGCTCGTATTTTCATGTGATGAATATGAATATCGGAGGATAGCATGGGATGGACGGTCCAAAAGGGAGAATCCTTCATGGTAACGGTATCAATTTCCAAGTGGGAGCAATAAACCGTTTGATAGAGATTGGGCCGTCCGGCTGGTTTGAGTGCTGGATCTCGTCGCTTGAACAAGTCCCACCAATAGGGCCCATTGCCATCAATGACACCTTGGCCCGTGATGCGAATGTGTGAGGAATTGTGTGCGTAGAGAAATGCTTGGTATTGATTCACGGTAAAACCACCGTATCTGTCTTCGCTATCTCCGTAAATTTCGACTGGTGGCATGATGGGCCAATGGTGGGTCGATGCCATGGCGACCAAGCTCCCGTCGACCTGGAGAATGGTGTGGCTGGTCAAATTCAGCGGATACGTAAGCACGGTAGCATGAGCTGGAATCACAATATGTTTCGTTTGGCAATCATCATCACCCAAAGGCAATGACAGGAGATGCCTCATGGCAGCAGTATCATCATGGACGCCATCACCAATCACACTCCAATCTGTCACTACTAGTTTTCTTGTAGTACAAGTGGATGGATCGAATGACTGTGTGGTTCTCGGTGGGAAGAGGATCCCCAATAGCAAGACAGATGAATAAGTCAAACTCATAATGCCCATCTTTCCACACAGCTTGAAAGCAGACAGAAGAAACAGAAACTGTAGCAATATTGATGTCTCCAAGTATCAGGTATCGTACTGTAGGTGTGTCCTTGGAGGTGGCGATAGTGCTTTTGCGATGTCTCAGAACTGCGAAGTGGCTGATCTCGATTTAGCAAAAGATCCATTTTTATCTCTAACCCTCTACCCGGTATAAATTAAGAGCCTGCTAGCTAGCTAGAGGTCGTCTCCATGCATATAATGGCCTCTCTGTCCCCATCCTCATCATAGCTCTCTCTAACCCATAGTAACTTTCCGCGTCACATGAATAAACAACAAGCGTGGGTGAACTATTACTGCTGTAGGAAGACTTGGTGATGGGAGCCTGTTTCCTTGTTCGTCTTCTTCTTTTTGCTGTTTGGGTTAGGAACAACATGCACCTTTCCTTTCCATTTGAGGGATCCCCCGTCCAGTTGTCGAGGTGGACCTGGCACAACATGCACGTTAAAATTTGCTGCGGGAATGGGCTCCAGGATGTGCGATTCTTTCACGTTCCTGTCGCCGCAGTCTCGCACATCATATTCCTCTGGAGTCTCGCTTGTGCCTCCAAGTTGAGGGTGTTTGCGCATAACGTCCCAGAGAGGATGTCCATAAGATTTCCAGGGCTCCCCTTGGGTTCCCGCGTGATGGAAATAGATGCCGTTGCAATCCAAGTCAATAAAAATTGTACCACAATCGCCGTGATACGTGATCCGGTCTCTACTTTCCGCATTGGTGATGCAGACGCCGTCCGGTACTTCCGTTTGGCCGACTTTCGCTCGGTTCATCGAAGGAATAGCCACTTTCGCATGAAATCCACGACGGCGGGCACCAAAGCCAACCAGAGTTTTGGCCGCTAAGGGTGGAGGCGGACCCGTGGCTACGGATTCCAAAGGCGGGAGATGAATGTCTCGTGTCAAGCCCGCTGCCTCCTTTACCTTGTACGGTTCCACCTCAATGTCGTCAACAAATTGAAAGACGACAGAATCTGTTGATTGCGACCAAGAGACGACTTTTCCAATCACATATACGGGCAAAGACACGGGCTCCTTCTCCTCCTTGGGCTCCTTCTCCTCCTCGGACTCCTTCTTCTCCTCGTCACCACCCACGTCCACGGGGGGTTTAATAAAGGAAAGAACCGTATCGCCAATTGCTTTGAAAAGGTGGCCGACAGTGAGCCCATAGTATTTGCCATGTTTCCAGAACACAAAACTCAGCGTCGCACCATCGCCATTACTGTTGCATACCCAGTCGTCTCCACACAAGCTGGGACCAGGCTTCTTGATTTTGATGATCCCCTTCTCGAGTCGGTTCGGAGTCCACCTTTCCTGCAATTCGCCTAATCAAGGGTGCTCCCTGGCGTCTTGGCTGGAGGAAGTGTCTTCCCTTTGGTTTTGGGCATTTTGGTAGGAAGGCCGGTAGCGTTGTCCGCGTCGTCCTCTCGTTCACGCTTATGATTGCTCTCGCTCTCCATGGCGCAGTCTCGGTTACTTTCGATGGTCGGGTCAAGATCGGGTTTACTATGGATTAGAGAGAGCTAAGATGAGGATGGGGACAGAGCGTGAGGGGAGGGCACGACGCAGGAACACAAGGCAAGCAATCAAGTGCGCAAGCAGGGCAACATGGAAACCAAGGAAAGGGGTGAAGGCAAGAGTGCAGGGAGGAGCAAAGGAGCAAGACTAGCGGAAGAGATCGAGGGCACCACAGTCATCCCAACGCTTGGAAACCTTGAGAGCTGAGACATGGGAGCCTCTCAAACACATTGTCGTGGCACGGGCAAGAGCTATGCTCAACCTGGCCGAGATGAAAGAGCGAACCACAGAGTAGGGCTTGGACCACTTGTGAGCCAAAAGCTGGGAGAGCCGTTGGAGAACAGCAGTAGCTTCGGCAGCAAAGAGGCCATCAGCAGAAACAACAAAGGGGGTGAAGTGGCAGCGTTGTGCAGTGCACTGAGCCTGGTACTTCGTCTTCTTCTGCCTCTCCCGCTGAGAAAGGGCCTTCTCAGCAGTGACACCACGGTCACGACGACCAGGAGACTCAACATCCACGAGGGAGACATCGAAAATACAATCGGTACCTCGATGCCAGAACCCGCGAACTAGGAGGTCACCCCGATCTTGGACAACGGGATCAGAGGGAGTAGGAGCATGGAAAGAATCAGCAGAGTCAATCGGAGCCATAGCTGGGCGACCAAGAGTGATACGGGGTTCGTCCCGGACAGCAGAGGGCATGAAAGCCATGGAAGATAAACCAGCCAGCTCGTGCACAATTTGATTGTGGCGCTGAAGAAGAAGTCCACCGTGGGAGCAGGAAAAGGCATGGTGGAGACCAAACTTTTTCTTGCAGCCATCACAGTGGGGTTGGAGATTCGATGGTTGGGTCAATTGTTGGGTTGTGAGTTGTGAACAGGCACACGATTGATTCGCGACGAGGACCATGTCTGAGAACAGTTTTCTACAGTTACGACGTTCTCGTCAGTTAAATTCATTCATGCTTCGATCCTAGTCACTCGGGATGTGAGGAAAGATCTTGATTTAGCAAAAGATCCACTTTTATCTCTAACCCTCTATAAATGGCTGTTAGTGCGAAATGTCAGAAAGGTATTTTCGTATGACGGACAGACGACTCGGGATCCACAATCACGGTTCGTGATTGGGGATGTGTGACTCAAATCAGATGGTTATCCGATCATCATCAGATGGCCAGGTGTA